CAGAAGATAAACCAGTGCAACGATGCTCAACGACAAGAGGAACTGAGCACAATGTATAAAACACTATACTGGACAAAGAAGTGAAGAAGAGTGCACGCGAAGACAAAGACACTTCTACGAAACACTGGTAAGTGAAGCAGAACAGGTTGCAGGTAAGAGAGAAAAAAACCTGACGACATTGTATCAAATAACCAGGTTGCTATCTGAAAAGGAAGAGATCAACACAGACGAAGCCAGTAAGAGATGATGACGGAAATTTAATTACGAAAGAAGAAAAAAAAAAGAAACAATGGGCCACCACTTCAAGAAGCTCTAGAATCCACCACCAGCACCACCTGGACTTCGTCCACAAATACCACCTGCAGCACTGCTACTGAACTACAAGTGAACATAAATCCTCCAACAAAAATGGAAGTCCTGAACGCCATAAAGCTACTGAAATGTGGGAAGGCAGCAGGACCAGATGGAATCCCGCCACAAGCACTGAGAACAGACGCAGAGACAACAGCCGACATGCTCACCACACCACTATTGCAGAAGGTGTGGAAGGAAGAGAAGGTACCTGGCGATTGGAAGAGGGGTTACCTTGTCAAACTGCCGAAGAAGGGAGACCTCAGTGTTTGCAATAACTGGCGAGGAATCACTCTCCTGTCCACCCAAAGCAAGCAAAATATTAAGCCGCATCATCCTGGAGAGGCTAAAGGATGCACTGGATTCAAAATTACGACCGGAACAGGTAGGCTTCAGAAAGTACAGATCATGTGCAGACCAAATTGCAACGCTACACTACACATCATCATAGAACAGAGTATTGAATGGCAGTCACTCTCTACCTCAACTTTATCGACTTTGAGAAGGCCTTTGACAGCGTCGACTAAGAAGTAATTTGAAAACTGCTTCAATACTACGGAATACCGCGAACCTTCATCAGCCTCATTCAACAACTATATGAAGATGCCACATGCCAAGTAATTCACAATGAGAAGCTCAGTGATGCTTTTGAAGTGAAGATAGGAGTGAAACAAGGTTGCCTACTATCCCCCATGATATTTCTGATTGTGGTCAAAAAAAAAAGACTGGATCATGCAGCAAACAGTGGGGAGCTGTGACAAGAGGGGGATACGCTAGCTGGACTGCGGAAAAGAACCTAGAAGATGTGGATTTCGCCGATGACTTGTGTCTGATGTCGCATAAACTTGAAGATCTACAGGCGAAAGCAAACAAGTTGGCAGAAGAGGCAGCTCAGACGGGACTTCAAGTGAATATAGAGAAGACAGAGGTGATGAGATACTTAACCAACACCACCACCAACAACAACAAGCTCCAATCACCATCAGCGGGAGAAACTTAAAGGAAGTAACCTCCTTCACCTATCTAAAAAAAAAAAAAAAAAAAAAAGGAAGCACAGACAAGGATGTCAAAGTCAGAATCGGAAAAGCAAGACAGGCGTTCATTAGCCTGAAACCAGTGTGGAGAAAATCTGCACTCAGCACGTGGAACAAGATCCGGATTTCAACACCAACGTCGAGTCAGTGCTTCTATATGGTTCAGAGACTTGGCGCGTCACGAAAGGGATTTCCAATAAACTACAGACATTCATCAACAACTGCTTACACTCGCTACTGAAGATCAGATGGCCAGAAAGAATAAGCAACAAGGAACTCTAAAAGGGAACGAACCAACCAAGAACCTATCACGCAACAAATATGCAGAAGGAAGTGGAGATGGATTGGGCATGCATTGAGAAGGCCTTCTGGGGACATCACGCGTCAGGCCCTCGAGTGGAATCCCCATGGGAAGCGACGAGTTGGACGTCCGAGGGTGACATGGAGGAGGTCGTGCGAGGAGGAAATGAGAGCTTCTGGGCTGTCGTGGAACCAGGTTCAAAAGATCTCAGAGAACAGAGGTCACTGGAGACGTGCTAGTGAAGCCCTATGTTCCATTAGGAACCCAAGGGACTAATAATAATATAATATATTGAAAATTGATTTTACAATTTAACATTCGTTTAGATTTCATAACATAGAACATTCTACCTACTTCCTGCGAGTCCTGAATTTGCTGGTTTATTACCAATATAACATCCCAGTTTATACTTCGCATTATCTCCTGACGCAGGTGGATCAGCAGTGTTTGGGTTAATAAGAAAAGCGACAGTGTTTCAGGAACATTATATAATGATTGCAGTCAGATACAGGCTCAACAGTTTCATCAATTGACTATCTTTCTCTTTATCATCTAGGCTTATGGATTACTTGAATTCAAACATATCCTGTAATGTCGGTAGCCTGAGTACAATGGGTAAGAAGTAGAAAGTGAGGGATGATTTGACTGAATTTCCTATTTACATTAAGCGCAAGTGACTCCTAGTGATGAGCTATTCAACCAAATGCTAGATATACGCCCTAATTGTTACACAAAATATCTTTGACTTCTAAAAATAATTTATCGATTCTTACTAGTCCTTTAACTGAGACTGAATGTTCAAGAGTACATATATTGTTAGTGGTAGAGCAATTTCACGTTGACTTCAAATAATATCAAACATCATCAGCCTAATGTATCGGTATTACTTTCCTAACTTCCTTTAATTGGCTAACTAACTTAGGTTTATATGAATGAAGCAAGCAACTCCGTTCTAATTAACTGATTCAATTATAATCAACTGAAGGATAGGGATAAAGGGGAGACTGATATTATGATGAAGGATTTTAAAAGAAATTCTGTCAAATAATCAACTAATTATTGGAACAGAGTCACATATATCCATAACAGAAATGATGAGAAGTTCAAAAAATCCCTAACAGTCTAATTAAGCTTTAGTGTACAGGTACATATCTTCGTTAATACGCTCTACGTGAATTGCACATCAGCTCTCTTTTTTGAAAGACTTCTCAACTTCTTTTAACTTTATCTGTTAACTGAGGTAACCTACTGCTATGGGTATGGTTCTGTTCCTAAAGTTATATCCTGATTTTGAAGTTATTTACGACTGTCAGTTAAACAGAACTGAAAACACACCTAATTTAATCTTCTTACCAGTAAAATTGAACAGTTAAGTCATAATGAATTCTCTTAATATTTCGATTGAAAATGAATTTCCAGGCTTCACGCTAAAAAACACCCTACAGTAAATGTTTTTTTTTTTCATCGCAGTTAGCTCTCTGACCGTTTCATAATAGTTCACTTACTCATTAGCGCTTTTTTTCAAAACACATGAGATGTAACGTGATTTCGAATTATTTTTGTCAAGTTAATAGACTATTCAATACAATGTTTGCTTTCTCTGTCAACTGGGGGATAGAAGTAGATGACTGGAAGGTTATCTTTGGTGTTTTCTTGGAAAATCTGTTATCAAGTGACCATATTAGTCAATGAAGGAGTAAAAATGAATAGTAATTTAATGTAGCTGAGAGCAGATACAAGTATTCGGGAATTATTCTTTTACAACGTACATGACCATCAGATGTAAACAAGTGTAGTGTCGGGTTCACCAATTTAGGAATTGTCCTTGTGCGAACTTCACAGACACAGAGTCTAATCACTAATTATTCGTACTTGTTACATACCCATGAATACGAGACCAAGGAAGAACACAAAAGCGTAGTCAGATGGAATATTATATTTGTGAGGTCATGCCAAAATAGCCATGCGTTCCAACTAGCTAGCTAGAGGGTCAATTACAAGCAGTGCAACGTAACACGATAGCGTGTTAAATGGCCTGGATGCTTGACTGTATGGCTTCAGCTTAGACATTTCGATAAAACCATGAAGGTCAGCATTAATGTTGAATCTCACCTAACCTTAGGCTAATGATTCTAGAGAAGTATGACGCTACAGACCACTCCACCCTCCTAGTGGGTTTGTGAAGACCCTAAGACAATACTAACCGGAAGTAAAAACCCAGTGGTTTCACCACTGGTGAACAAAAAATAGTGCAGTTATTGATTATAACGTATAATCTTTCTCTAGATCAATTAAATTAATGCAATGCCATTAAAACCTTGTTTATAAAGTGAAACATACTGTGAGGTCAGGAAAATAGCCTTAAAAATTATTATTATTCGTAAGAATGTTTATTACTCTCAGTATCTTTGATAACTAGCATTTCTTCCCCCACAAAAACACCGTTATGTTTATCCTCTTGTCTGTTTAGTCGAATATATTGTGGTCTAATAATTCTTAGGAGTCAAAATTCTATCAAGAAAACACTGGCTCTACACCAAAGAGTAAGATTTTACGCATTAGAAAAGATAAAATTAATCCTGAATGAATTACCCATCATTCCATATACAAAGACGGTTGTGTTGTATTAGGCAACAATCCTAGTGATAAATCGTACAAAAGATGTTATAACCTAAACAGCTGTGTGATAAAATCTTTGATCTAAGTGATGAGTGACACGGGTCTGAATCTCTGAAAGAACATGAGTTTCCATGGAGTTGAAGATATGTCTTGACGGTGGTAAATGCTAACAAGATACCCATCATTTGTAGCTCCCTGGCAGTTGACTGCTCACGTTCAGTACAGTTTTACTTCAGCTTTTACGTTTACTGGTTAGTGACGTGACTGGAGCAACGATTCGATGAATTTCAGAATCTTACTTTATTAAATTACCAATGCCAATTAGCGGTCAGTAGTCTAATCTTTTCGTTCTTAAAACATACATTCATGCCTAAAGAAGCGTACAATACTCCACGAATCTGAATAGTACCATACATTCAACTGAGATTATTAATTTCAGGCACTAAACTAAACCATTTCGACTCACACAGAGATGGCTTCATTCAATGTACTTGACCGACTGTTGATTTCGTCGTCTTATAACAGCTTCTAAACGCATTGATTGTTCACTGGAGGATAAGTAACTTCATGTTGTCTAGTCCTAAGTGCTGGCCGAATTCTATTCATCATTTTACAGTGTGGTTATCAGTCTAAGGAACTCACCATCGCGATGTACTGAAATAGAAGTTATCTGAATAGAGGCAATAAGCCCTTGACCTACGTTCCTTGCTTTTTGGCACTCTTCAGTAAAGGGTATCGATAGAATTCGATGAGGCCTTGGACAAGATCATGTGAAGTTGATTACCTTCAGATGACCAATCAATGTACCTAGCCCATCCCTGTAGGTCGACTGCACCCCGAATACCTCAGTAGTATTGTCTCTGACTGCACCCTTCAGTGACATGGGTTCGAATCTTGGGCGGGACGCCAGTTATACTGAAGTGTCAAATACGCCTTATGGACAGGTGCAAAAAAGCCCCGAACCTAGGTCCACTGCTTCTTGCCGATTACCTCCGTTTAACTAGCTCCTAAGTGCGTTTTAATCTCATCATGTTGACTCGTCTGGAAGTATTCATTACCTTTTGTGAAGTAAATGGATTTGTTCATAACTACTGTTGAATTACTCTTGTTAGGTTCGGTAGTGTTTATGGTGTTATCATTTCTTAAGTTCTTCGTTTCCGGTTTTCTAGAATTCTTATAATTTAGTGCAAATGCACATTGTAATTGGACTCGTTCAGTAGATGGCTTATCTGTTGAACTTAATACTACTTCTGTTCTAGGGGTAACATCTTCAGGTTTTAATCAACTTACAGCTACGTTGAACTTAATTCGTTTCTCGACGATTTTCATTTCATTTGGGTTTAATACTCTACTTCAGAGGTTGGTCATCCATTTTGATCTGTCGGTAGTTTACGGTTCTTCGTCGGTAACTTCAGTCTTCTCATCGAGAAATTTCTGTAATAATTTTTGTTTATTTACTGAGAGCAGCTGGTTTCACTTTATTGGACGGTTCAATCAGAAAATTCGTCTCTTCTGTTTACTATCTTCATGAATCTGGATTTGAGTAGTTCAATTTCATAGTTAGTACAGGTTGGTTTTTTTTAGCAATCTAGTGAATTCCTACTTTTAAACAGAGTCTACTGACTCCTTCAACTACCGCTCTAATCCTGTCCGTTGGAATGGGCATACGCAGATAACGCCCAGGTTCTAGTCCCCTACCAATTTACTGTAATCTCTCTTGTAACAATGATTTCTGAGCAAATACCTTTTTGACAAATAACCCAGCATCCTTCGTAAATCCGTTTTGAGAAGTAACCTTAAATTTATTTCCAGACTATTTAACACTAAGAAGTCCAGCTTGGAAGGGACTTTTAGGATAGCATAATTACTGTTCATCACAGAAACAATCTGCAAATATATCAGTCATGATAATTTATATAAGCGTATAATTTATGCACCGTAGTGGCATGTAACTCCATACTAGATTAGTCGATTTGATACAACACACAGTAATATAATATTATTTACTAGATGATGTTTCAAGCAGAATTTATTGCTCATAATCATGTATAATCATGAACTAGTATTAAATTCAGTGGATATCTTCCTTCTGAACAAGTCCAAGCACAAAGTCTATTTTTATACTAAAGCATAAGAATTTAAAAAAAAAAAAAAAAAAAGTGAAGAACCTAATAAATAATAACAACATGAATATCGCTAAATCTAACAAGATTGATTCAACAGTATTTATTAACAAATTCACTTACTTCTCAAAAACTGTTAATTAACCCTTCCAAACGAGTTCATGTGATGAGATTAAAAAGCCTGTTATAGATGTTATAAAACTAAGAAATCAACAGTCGATTTAATAAGCCGAAATAAGCCATCTCCGTGTGAGTTATACAGTCTTTTTTTTAATGGGTAAAGTTTGTTGTTTACCTGTCTTTAAAAAAAAAAGGTGATAAATTCTGCTCATAACGTCATCATCTAGTAAGTAATACTATGTAATTGTGTGCTATATCAAATAGACTAATTTAATATGGAATAGTTATGACACATTTTAACACAAATATCAAAATGCAGTTTCGTATATATCCAACAATATCGAAAAATATCAATAAGTATTTATATCAATTTACTGCAGATACTCTCTATGACAGTAGAACAGTTTCATATTTTTAAAAAACGATGAAGAGATTTTTTCATTTCAAAAATACTTTCATAACTATTTCGATTTCATTTGAAGAGATAAAGTGAATATATTGCATCTTGGTTATAATTATCAACCATGACGGGTCAGAACGAGCTTGAAAGAGACCAAGTAAGTGCCGATTTTTATTAATTTCTGCTATCCAACTGTGCTACAAGACTTCAAGAATTCTAATAATAGTTATTACATTTAATAATACGGTATTACATTATTATTCATTATATGTGCATCCAGTTGGAATGAGGAATAAAATATTGAGGAGACCAATTTCAGTTGGTCTTCAGTTCCCTATTAACTAATCAAATTTTGAAAGGTATACTGACATCTACTTCTCAAATGTGGCTAAAGTTCACAAGGCTACATTTAATTTAAAGTGGAAATCTATAACAATTCCGGATGATTTATATCCAATTATTTTTGAAGATGGTAAACTGATTGGATCATTAAACGATTGTATGATTCAGGCTTGGATTATTGATCCTCTCAGTTTACAATCAGGTATTCCTTGATGATAAGGATAGGAAATATCTAAAAGAAAATTGCAGCTCGAGGTCAGTGGGCCCAGTGAAATAAAAGAGGTTACAGTCTGGTCGGCATACATGATCCATATTGTCCATTTTTCAATTTTAGTAAATGTTTCCCTTCACAAGAGACGAAAAGTTACTTATCAAAATCTACAAACTCGAGGGATTTACGTCAGCCGTCTACGAATACCTGTATACAATATCAGGTGCCCCGAACGTTATCATGTATATAATACTGTTTCACTGTGACAAATTTAATAGACAAACTTAAATGAAATCAGAAAAATAGAATGATCTTCACAGTCGAAGAAGCAAAATCGGAATGCACTCAACATATACATGCACGTCTGTGCAGTAGGCAATGAGCAATACCTATTGTGTCGATGTTAATGATACTTTCTGCCTGCGCAGGTCTCGATAGGTTGAGTATGGTTCAAATCCATGATACATAGGTCGGAAGTCGAGTATCTAGACAAATGAACCACAGCTCCACAATCTCCCCAGAAGAGTGTAAAAAACTGTTATTTTACTTTATTACGTGTATAATAATCAATAACACGTATAATAGTTACTTTAATAATACTTTAAAAGTGGTACAAAGAGAAGGGAAGACTTCGATCAATATGTACACTATTTTATTTGAATGAAGAAGTAAAACAAAGTCATCAAAGATCAACTCACAAATTTAAAGTAGTTCATTATTAAAGAATAAATTTACGTGTATCGCATTTAGCAATGTATAAAAGGAGGGAGAAAATACACACAGATGTATCAATACAAACCAAGTGCACATTTTTACATATAAAAATCTAATGCAAGCAGTAGAAGAAAATGAGTTAATTTATCGTAATTTCTTCCTTACTGAGAAATCCTTTATCTGTATCGAAATAACTTTACTCTTTGATTAAAGCAACAACTTAATCGCTGGGTAGTCAGTTGAATCAAGGAATGTATTCAAAATAGAAAATAACTACATTGAAAATTTCTAATGAGAATTTCAAACGGCAGTATTCATTAGTGGAGGATACAAACAGAATTACAGATATCATGATGAAATAAGCATGATATATATATATATATATATATATATATATATATATATATATATATATATATATATATGCAGACAGTTTATGCAGGTCGTGTATCAGCAGGAATGAAATACTGGCTCACGTACTTCTGTTGTGCACATCTCAGTGTATCCTTCGGTCGGCTTCGTTTCAGTTCACCATCCCTAATTGAATGACAAATGTAACAACACATGTAAAGTGTAAATATATAAGTGTGAAGTGACGTACAAATGAAGACAAGTAAAAATTTTGAGGATAGTTTTTTTATCGTGAACAAGAGTAATATTTGCAAACAAAAGTTGGTATTGCAAAGAGTATACTGCGTATCATTTTAGAATGTAGCAATTTTCAACTCTTTTAAAGAGTGAACCTTTGACGTGAAATTTGACACGATATTATAATGATTAAGTTAAAGTCTGAACGATTTTCAGTGGTGATTCATTCAACTGTGAGTTTACCCAAAAATCCTTATCCACTTCATAGACTGACTGAACTCTTCAGCACAGACCATTAGATTCTAAAGAGATGACTGACTGTATGCCTGGGCACTAACTGGTACATGAACGGTTCATTAGATCTAACAAGGACACGAGGTTCAACATCACGGAGAAAAACTAAAGCCAGGTTGAGACGGCATAGTCTGAAATTCCACGGCAGGCACAGCTTCATTTGAATAATGCCCAGTACTTTGAAAGGCCTAGTTTTTTAGACAATAACAAAGTGTAAGCCATCCGATTACGCCAGTTCTAGTTATTACGGGATCATTCACCATGTTAAACAATGTTCTCAGTGGTTATGACAATTTATCACGTGGAAAAAATTCCAGTATGAGGGAAATATTCGTCTGTTGTACGATAATAAAGAGACTATGTTGATCATAAAGACGGATAAACTAATTATTGTAGAAGTGCACACAGAAACGTATCATTTCAACCTGCAACACTTCATGACATTCCATAAAAAGGAAATCAATATCAACAGAGATATGGTGTGGTATGCAAGAACATTAGTGAAGGCTTAAGAACACACCTATCTATCACGATGAAGATTAATCGCTAAGGAGCAAGATTTACTATGCAACACGACTGCGACAACTTTAGTCACGAAGATATATCTTAAACAGTTTCCCTAAATTTCATATTAGATTGCTCATTTGATACATCACACAGTAATAGAGTATTGCTTACTGGATACTAGACCCAATAAATAACACTTTATTACTGAGTGATATTGAACAATTTAATATCGAATTATACTCTACCACAGTGTCCCAATTTTACTCTTGCATTAGTTTTCTTGAAATTACAGCAGCTAATCAGTGTAAAAAAAGTCAACTTTTTGGGTGAAATACCGGAGACCATACGTTCCAGTGAATAGAGAAGTTATCAGATATACCACAGAATATAAGAAAATATGAGTTACATTATACCTTTTTTACTTTTCTGTTACATGATAATGACTACATGAGACAAGAGTGATAACAGATTTGAGGACGGGTGATGCTTTTCTGTTGCCCATACCACGGAAGAATATTTTTTCCTAAAGTACTTGAAAAAGGAACCAGGTTATTTCGGCGTGTTCATAGAGCACAAGAGACATGTTTGAGGTTAGTCACAAACGGCCTTTTAGGAAGTTTGAAATTTAACTGTCGTAAACCCAGTGGTCAAATGCGTTGAACACTCAACTTATTCGAGTAGTTACTTAGGCTGGAACGACTTGGTTGCTGAAGTAATCTCAGCTCGGATACAGAAGGTCAGTTTGGCGCTTACCAACTCCCATCATCTCTGGCGCCCACTGGTAGGATATCCGACTATCTATTAAAAGACGGGTATACTACACTGCAGTTCGCTCTGCCCTGTTATACGGGTGTGAAACGTGGTCGTTAAGAGTGGAGGATAAGAAGCGGTTACAAGCTTTGATTATAGGTATGGTGGAACCACCAAGTTAAGAATGTTGAGCTTAGGTGAAAGGTACTGGGCAAGGAAGGCAAGTCAGTCGATGATTGTGAACCTTTAGCGACTGAGGTGGCTTGGATACATGCCGCACATGCCGAGTCACTGCCTACCTCGGCATGAAATGCTAGCTGAAGCTGGATTAGGTCGGAAGAAGGTTTAGGATGACCGAACTAATATGCGGCACCAATCTATGGAGTCTCTGGCTGTTCGTCTGGGCTGTGTAGACCGCCTTTACTGGAGTTCTTGGGATGATGTAAATCAATGGTTGAAGACCCTTGGTGACATGGCTGAAAATTGGTTACGATAGCATAGATGTATTCACTCTTAAACATTTTCTGGAGCGTGAAAACTTTCATGAGTCTTCATTTTTAAATTTGTTTTCTTCTGAAATACCTTCTTCTACTTTAACATCACTTTTATGACCCACTTGTCCTCTGTATGCTGCTGTGAGTGTGGTAACTTGAACCGATGGACTTCCGAGAGGTTCTACGTTGATTCTGCCTCTAATTCAGAAATTCAGATAGGAACCCACATCGCCGTCATCAGAAGACCGTAGAGCAGGAAGGGAGGTTCTATTTTTGCTGTCAACCTTTTCTAAACCCTCATTTCCGTAAAGAAGGGAGCATCAGCATGGCACTCATGATCAATAGCAAGAGACACCTAACTGCTATCATGCTTCACACAAAGTCTTCCCCGGACACTCATCATAGTGTCAGCTTCTTGTCTTACCACTGTTTGTTAGGACTTTCTGGCAAAGGAGGACCTCAAACAGTAAATTTTGCCACCACCATAGCTCATTTGGTCATTGCGATATTCAAGCTCAAACACCACGTTAAAGTAGCAGTTATCGGTCAGGTTTCTCTCATTACAGAAAAGTAAAATCAAAGTGATAACTGCTCCCTTGAATGAATATTACAAGACCGTTTGCCTGATAACTGACTAACTTTTTGCATTCCTTTTTCTTCTCTTGCCTCTCTACATTTGGAATGTTTTGATCATGCAGCTGTTTTTCTGTGAGGTCTATTTAACCGATGGTTATGCTGTCCCAAGTTTGTATTTTAAATAATGAAGTACATGTTTGAATGGGGCTGGATTGGTGAGGAATGGGAGTGATATGCATTGCGTACGTAAATAACCGCGTAGATATTGAATAGCAACATTGAACCTCCCAACCACTAACAATCGAGTGAACGCTGTGGTCAAAACCAACTGGGTCAATGCCAGATCACGGAAACGGTCACTAAATGACTGGTTTGTGTCCCATCATCGAATAAGTTGTCAGTCATGTGCATGAAGTGTAACCTATATGGCATAACTAGAAACTATGTATCAAACGGCTAAGAGTGAATCAAGAACACGAGGAAGATTACTAGGTAGATGAATCCTAATGAATGAGGCTGGAGGCTGGATTTCGATCCGCTGCGACATTAAAGACTGGATAATAACTCCTGTTATCAAGGATAGTAGAAAAAGCACTTACCTTGAAAAGAATTTCGCTAGAGTTAATGACTAGACTTTTGATAGTTTTCAGTGATATGATGACTACCAAGAAGTACTAAATCAAACTTGATGAAAAGTTCAACAGTAGTACGTGAGCAGAGTCATTATAGTTCAAAAATAAAAAGATAACGTGGAACCATTACGACACAAACTACTCCAATAGGCCGGGTTTAGGTAGCTCTAAGTAGCGAAGTGGTTTGCATTCAACGTTCAGTCATAGTTTTAAATCCTATCTTACCTACCTCAGTTTGATAAATCTATAAGAATAATTAACTCTTGGGAATGAAACGTGGCTGGTAAGCTAAGCATACAAACCTGTTGGCGGCTAGTCAATAACATCAACCTTTCCTGAATTTAAAAGTAAATCAAACTATGGACTCCTTTGTCAATTGTATAGTAAGGTTTTTGGTGAGAATTCGGGAAGAGACCAAAAAAAAACAATATGTTATATGTGTTAGGTAGTATTCGAACCATAAATCCAGAGAAGAAAATGATTACGAGAAACATTACTTACCAATCCATCCCAATCATCCCACCACATTGAGCAATACTATGCTGTACACGCCTTGCAAATGCAATTGAATCCTCTTCATCAGATTTCTTTGTTGGTGGTAAATACCATACATCTACCATGATAGCCCATGATGTCATTGTCTTCAGACTGTATTGAAATAACTATCTTGACTACTGTTCCAAAAGCAGTCAGCAAATAAAGGATTATACTTTTGTCATCAAGAGATGGAGAAAAACATAGATGAAGTAATAAATTATTTACATCATATATGGTAGATGATAAAATGATATGATACATATTTACTATGGACGCATAGATACAAATAATCACACGTAGAAGAATAACTGATGAATTGATTGTTACTTAGCAATAAATATAAACATGTAAACAATGAATTATATAGAAAATGCAGGATTGATTTATGATTAATAGAGGCGTTTATATTATCTGCAATCAGATAGCGAAGGTTTCATCAATACGACAGATGGAACACACCTAGCTTTACACAAACTAATAACACTAATCATAATTAGTTGGTCCTATGATATCTATAGAACTGTTTAATTGTCAATAAAGGAATCTACCACGTCAAATCATGGAATAGAACTAAATTGAAATCCTTGGAAATATAATGGTTTGTCGTAATCTGATGCAAATTAAAAATCAGAAAGGTATACTTGCTACAAATCTTTCAAACCATATGATCACAACAAATTCGTTGCTGTGTTGAACTTGTCAGACACTGAATGGTTATCCTAGATCCTCGTAAAATATATGACTTCAAATAAGTCTTCTGTTGGTACTACAAGTTTCATATTCCCTATATATGTAGTTACAATCAACTATTGCGACTAGTTATGAAGAAATTCACCCGACGAACATGACTACAACCTAAATGTTCAATCGACCTATCGTATAGGAAACCAATTATGTAAGCATCATTAGTTGTTTCGTCAGAACTTACTCCAGTTGAAGTTCTAGTGTTCAGCAAAAGTGGTCGGCTTAAAAATGGAGCCCAGCTAATGAAGCCAGTCAAGGAGCATGACAAAAAACACCGCTGGAACTGCTCTTCAGTTTTATACGTGTTGTAGATGCCTGCTATAAAACGTATGATAAAAATGTCTTGCTAAGCATTGAAGTCATTAGCCAACACCTTTCTTATATCAGTTTTAATGAAAAACATGAAGATTCAGTCAGTAAGTTATCCAACTCTACAAATAAGAGCGAATTCAATGCATAGCTTGTTATACCTAATTTACTCGACAATAGTTAAACATTACAGCTGAAGAAAGTGGATAAAACTAGGAAGCAAAAAGCTTTCGATTAGAGATTTATAGTGTATTATGAAGTCATTAACAGCAACATTAAGATTAAACTTAAGTTTATGCGCCAGGATTGTAAGTAGGTCGATGAAGTTGTGAACATTCAACGCATGAGATGACTTGGCTATATATTGTGCATGTTAAGACACCACATACTTCAACTCAAAATATTATCAATAGTAGGATTAGTTCGAAAGTAAGCTGGGGGTGATATGATGTAAATCTATAAAGGTTCCGACCGCTGGTTTCAGTTGTGAACTGAAGTACATGGCATCTAGCTGGTGATGATAACTAAAAGATGGAGACTGTTGCTGGAATGAACACAAATTCATTTCAATGGTGCAGATGTATTCACCTTCAATGATTTTCAGAATTTTGAAAAATTTTTTACGCGCCTTAATTTCCTTACTTCCTATCCTTTAATACACTTTTGTCTACTTTATTAATATTCTTTTTTTTAACCAATTTCCCCTTAAGTGTTGCTCTGAGGTGTGAAAAATTGAGATGGTGTATTTCGTGTAATTTTTACCGTGACTTGTCTGCATCTCTTTTCCATGAGATTTATCCTTCGTTCAATTACTCTTTCTGAATTGTTGCGAAATGTGGCAGCCTCATGCACTGCAGTTTTTTGTCAGATTATTCGCCCATCCCCTTCGCAACAGTATAAAGTTTATGAATAGAACTATTTTAACAATCACGAAAGAGATGCGGCAAATATATGAAAAGTAGTAATACGTTCAGTATTTGGAAGATAAAAGACAAACATAACTGAGCAGTTGTGAGTAATTTTGGACCCAAATTTAATATTCACTATTTCCTTCTACCCCGTACACTCCCCCCTCCCTCCAATGAAGTAGCTTCCACTTTTCGCTATGCCTAAGACCTATGTTTAGAAAACAAAGTGGAGCTGTGGCTCAGTGGTTTAGAAAGATGACTATCAACCAGAGGGTCAAGGAGTTGGAACACCACTCCACCCACCGTGTTGGGCATTAGGTGTGGCTCATTGTCTACTGCATGAATGTGCACAAGGTAGTTGAGTGCGTTCTTTTTGTTCGTTGGTGTTCGTACCAACTACTAGTTCACCCTATCACTGATCTATTTGTCTGTCTCTGAATGATTTCAATTTCCTAGCATTATTATTCAAAGTGAATACCAGTGGACCAACGTTACAGTACATTACAGTTATGCACACTGGTAAATGCACAGAAATGACTGTTTTTGATAACAGGTGAAGTAAACAATGAATACTAAAGGCTAAAGTTCGAATGCTGTTGTGGCATAAATACGTAATGACTACATCGAAATAACATATGTTCAGTCTATTTATGGCATCTTGGACATCTTGAATTAATAGCAATAATAATAATAATAATAATAATAATAATAATAATAATAATAATAATAATAATAATAGCAATAATAATAATAATAATAATAATAATGACAAAGCTAGATTGACATCTGTGGAATAAATATATAGTGATCCCACACCTTGATTGCAACAGGATGAATCTCGGCTCCCACTTCAAAGCAGCCTTTCTTAAACTTCATAACCGATGTATTGTTGATGCAAGTACCTTCTGGGAAAATTAGAATGGGTTCAGCATTTGGGGAAGTAGCATGCTCCTTTAACTTTTTTGCTGTAGAATTACGATCTAAGACTTCACCCCGATCAAACCATATAGCAGGAACAGCACAAGATATGATCCACTCTGCGAATCCGAAAAATCCATTATGTTTTTGACCAACCTGAATATGGTAACAAAGGTACGAAAATGTCAGGTATGATTGACAACATTAATTTGAAGTATGAGACGTTTAAAAGAAGTAGGTTTCATAGTTTTTCGAGCAATGGAAAAGTCCACCTTTAAAACTTCATCCACAACTTCAACAGCTAGAATTTTTAGAGTGAAATGACTCGTAATATATTGCAACTCATTCTCCACAGTCACGTGCATTTTTTTCAGTCATGCCACACCCGATCCCTTTAGGTAAAGGGGTACTTCTAGAATGCTAAAGTAGCTCACCTTAGGAACACAATATATAATCCCAATGATAAAAACCTGAAGTCTATTATAAAAATGACATTTACGTTTCTTTTAATTACAAATGACAATATTTCTATTAAGACAGTGTATGCGTGACAGACAGAATGATAAAGTATTCGTTGGGGTCGTTGAACTCCTTTAACAACAAAGATGAAAAAACGAAGAGAAAAAAAAGAATAATAGCACTAAAAATCAGACGATAGTCACAGGATATTGGAAGAAAATTCAGACGGAAGATAAAAGGGCGAAGATAATGAAACATTTACTAATTACAACAAGGTATAGAATGCAGGTGCAGTATTCCATAAGACAGACACAGGAAAATTAGCAAGATAGGTTCTACTACCTCAAGAATGATAAGGTCTCAGAATCGAACAAGTTGTATTCATAGTGACACACTTCGTTGGATCCAAGGAGAAAGACATTTAGACTACCCAGTTGAGTTTAAGTTAACACTGTTAGTCTTACTTAAGTTGCAAGAGAGTGGTAGCTGAGATGACAGCGTTAACTGAACTGGTTATTAGAATAACTACCGAGATTAAACGGTTCATACAACAATCCAGAAGCCGTCTTATTGGAAGTGTAATATTTTTCAATTTCTCCCATATGTGAAATACCTACACTGATATGCCTTGAAATAAAGGTGATTTTTAGAGATCAGATGCAAGAAATCCAGTTGATTTATCTGAGTCACCAGATAATCTTGACAATACACAATAAGTTAGGTCAGTGTAAATTAAGGATAATAGCCTAGGTTAAGTTTCGAACTTGTTACAAATGAATATAATTTGAGTGAATGAATGCATTCACTACAGCCTCGTTAGATCCGATCGTTAATTATTTGACTGTAAGACATTACAAAATACACACACACATACACACACAAGAAGTGATTGTTATAAGCTCATTTACATCATATTAATTAAGCATAGAGATTACTGTGGTGTAACAATATATTTATCAGTAGTAATGAGAAATTTAAAAAATGAAGGTGATAAATACATCAATAGAAAAACAGAAACAAAGGTGAAATTAAAATGCTATTCAATTCAAATAAGTTACAATACAATTTATAAACACTGGGTGGGAGGAATTCATAAAGAAAACTAAATGATAATTATTTTACCAATATGCACAACAAAAATGATCAGTATACCAGAAAAAAGTATAAAACCGAGCAAAAATAAGCGTCTGGATAAAGTTTATCTCTGAATATTTAATTTGTATAGCAATGGTACTGACCGTATAAAGTCAAAAAAAATACTGTAGTTTGTTAGTATTCTGGTAACTTAGACCATAACTGCCATGGTAATAAAACAATACATCTCAAGTAAATGTGCTTGCCTAAATGAAATAACTGATGTTTTTTACTTCTGTCTTTTCGAATCAGGTTTAATCCGCTTCATCATATTTACAAAACCTTCATGTATTGCCAACGAGATGGAATGAAATGCATAGGTCTAAAGTTTACTTTCCTAAAAATCTCATTGATGCACCCTCGTCCGCGTATGAAACCTCCCTGGTTATTCAGATTTTGTTGTTCTCAAGCTCCAGTTAGGCGTTAGATAACTATGGAGCCTAGGATTTTGCAAACAATAATAGTCAAACTGATTTCCCTATGGTTGTCACAGGAAGACTTATCTCCCTTCTTATGTACTAGGATGATCAGTGAAGTACACCAGTCTGACGACACTACCCCTGATTCCCATGCACTGCCTAGTACCTCCGTCACTTTAATTAGCAATTCCCTACCTCCATTCTTGAAAATTTCGGGTGGCAAACTGTTACGTCCTGCTGCTTTGCATCCCTTCAGGTTCGACACAGCCTTCTCAACTTCAAGGGGAGTTGGAGGATAGACATCTAAATCTCATTCAGGTTCAGGTTGGATGTTGAGCAACTGAAGCGTTGCTGAGAGCTGGTTGAACTGTGCAGAGAAATTATTGTGTTTATCAAAGAAAACTTCTCTTCCGAAGACTGGGATGACCAAGAATTGAGACAAATCATGGTGTATCATTTCTAACTCCTATACCCTCGCCTATATCTCAGTAAGTCGAACGAATAACCTTGAGGTTTTGTCATGAAAAATATCCCCAGAGTTAGTCAATAAAGGTCTGGCAGGCAGCAACGTTTCAAAGTACTTACAACTTTCTTGGCTTTCACAGGATTTGAAGGTCGAAAATGAGTGTGTGATGGAGGCAATAACTGCATTGTGAGCAACTAAATAATTACTGAAGTCCGAATGAACCTTCCTCTAAAGTGTTATGTATATTTATTCAATCATCTTCCTGATGAATGGATCACTGCTTCATCTTTCTGCATTGTAGTTCCATCAAATGCTGTTTTCACAATAAACTGGAGATTGTGATAGTCTTCTATAGGGTAAGTACGTACTTTTGTTCCCACCTACTAAGTATACGACTTAACCGTTATTCTGATCTAAACATTTCGCTTAACTTACCAACAAACTTAATCCCAAATGGTCGTTTCGCTGGTCTGGAGTCCAGCTTATTATTGGCAGTGTACATGGATAAATTTAGTCCACGCAACAAATTTCTCAAAACAACGAAACCAAGTTAACGAACTTCGATGAGCCAATGTACCATAAAGTGAATAGTCGATTTACAAATAGTTTTTTAATTGCCTGTTCCACACTGACATTGCTCACAGTTGATTAGTTATTCAACTGTAAATAATTTGTATACTGACCAGCAAAGTATTTCTGCTTGAAGGCAACCTCAGCATTCTCATCGTCAGATTGAGCTATGACTGATCGTTCAGTGACAGACATACATTAGCAATGCAACGCTATTCCTTTCTGTGTGATGAATTTGCCCAAGTAAGCCGGCGATGAGTTCGGTCCCATGTGAGGAAGACGGCGGTTCGGCGTTTTAGATCACTGGCTAGCAAAACCCACTAATGTTGTTCAGTAGTATATTTTGATGGAAATTAATGATGACCAGAAGGGGTTTAAATGCTACTTTAGATACTTGACGGTCTCCAACTACCCTAAGTGAAAAGCCGACTGTTTTCGAAGAACAGAAAAATGAAATGGTGTTGCTATATTTGGGTATTATCGAATTAGGAACGTGATTATACAACCCAAACGACAGTTGTTTTACGTCAGTCACACACTGCCTTTTAAAGGGTTTTCACCGAAATATAAAGCTGTTAGTCTTGTACTAGTAAAAATCTTTGTCAGTACTGGAAATACATGGGACAACAAGTAAGCGAATTATCATAGCATCGACATTTTAGAACCTTTTCCCGAGAAAGGAGACTCTATTAGCTGGAAACACTGATTAACACAGATTATGTGTAACACCTCACCATTTCGTTGGATTCATGTTCACATCTTCATTTACTGATAAAAATGAGTATTCCATGCAATTTGATTCCAATCTTCTCCAGAATCATGATACCAAGATTCAAATCAAAAGGAAAGAAAGTTACAATCGTACAACGCCACGCTACACTATGCACCTACAAATAATGCAGATGAAGAGAAGGTGGAGGAATTCTACAGACAACTGCAATCAACACTGGACAAGACTCCACCCCAGTTGGCCACATCAAAATTCATTCTAGTGGGTGGGTGGAGGGGGTCACATGAATGCCAAACTCGAAACGCACAACACAGGAAGAGAACCAACCATGGGTGGAGGAGCACTCACGGAAATCAACGAGAATGGAGAACCATTTGCAGACTTCTCTGCATCTAATAATTTGGTGATTGGAGTCAGGCAGTGTGTACAAACACTTTCAAGGATGTTCACAAAGCCACATGTAGTTGATCTCACCATTCACCAGATGGACACATTACACTAAAAGTCAGATCGACTTCATTTCAATGTGAGGAAAGTGGAGACGAAGCCAGCCTACTGGACACAAGATAAGATGAAGAAGGGGAGCAGATGTAGGTTCACACCACTCACTAGATGGTGCAAGCAACCTTCGAAATCAGGTTGGAAGCCTTCAAAGAAGTTGGTGGTTGACCACAGTTCACGTTCAACATCCACCCAGAACAGAAACTGAACTTGACTGAACTGAACTGAACTGAAGGACGAAAGTACGGAGGACATCTTCAAGTGATCAGTCATCAGGAGGAAATGGGAGACATTGAGCCACATGCATAAAGGAACGTGCGTGAAAGAACACTGGAACTCTTTGAAAGCTATGTGGAAGGATACCTACACAAGCGTGTTAGGAAGGAAGAAGGAGTGGGACGAGACGGGACGTGACGAGACTAGAAATGGGTCTCCACGGATACATGGGAGCTGATAGAGAAGTGAGTGGAAGATGTTGAAGCTGAAGATGAATCAGTATGTTTCAGTGTATTACAGTGCAGTGTAGGGATAAACAATGAAAAGACGAACTGAACACAACCTGCAAAACACTACACTGGACAAAGAAGTGAAGACGAGTGAGCGCAAAGACGAAAGACACTTCTACAACACATCGGCAAGTGAAGCAGAACAGGCTGCAGGTAACAGAGACACATTATATAGGACATTCGACAAAACTATGGCCTAGATGTTTATAAGAGAGACACAGACCTGACAACATTATATCAAATAACGGGTTACTACCTGGGATGGAAGAGATCAACGCAGAGGAAACCAGTGAGAGATAGTGAAGGAAACCTAGTTAACACCAAAGAGGAGAAACAGAGGAAACGATAAGCTGACCACTTCAATAAGCTCTTCCATCGACCACCATCACCACCGGCAACTCATCCAGGAATACCACCAGCACACCAGTCAACACAAGCCATCCAACAAAAGCTGGAATGAAGTCCTAAACCCCATAAAGTTACTAAAAGCAGGGAAAGCAACACGACCAGATGGAATTCCTCCACAAGCACTGAAAACAGATGCAGAGACAACAGTGGTGGACATGCTCACACCACACCACACCACTATTGCAGAAGGTTTGTGAGGAGGGAAGGAAAGGTGTCAGCCCATTGATTGGAAGGAGGGCTACCTTGTCAAACTCTCAAAGGAGGGAGATGTAAATATTTTCAAGAAGTGGTGCGGAATCACGTCCCATCCCTGTCCACCCAAAGCAAGCAAAATATTATGCAGAATCATCCTGGAGGGAGTAAACAATGCTCTGGATTGACAATTACGACCGGAACAGGCTGACTGGCTGGCTTCAGCAAGAACAAATCATGTGGGGATCAAATTGCAATGCTACGCTACACATCATCATAGAAACGAGTATAGGATAGCAGTCAACTCTTCACCTTACCTCAACTTCATCAACTTTGAAATGGCCTTCGATAGAGTCGATTGAGAAGTAATTTGGCAGGCAGCTGCTTCAACACTACGCTTTTAGTGCCACAAACCTTTATCAATCTCATTCAACAGCTATATGAAAAGGCCACATCCCAAGTTATCCACAATGGAAAGCTCAGCGACGCCTTTGAAGTGAAGAAATGAGTAGGACAAAGTTCCTGTGTACTATCACCGATCATCCTCCTGATTATGGTGAACTGGACTGGATCATGCAGAAAACTGTGAGGAGCGAGAAGAGATGAAAAGACCTTAGAAGATTTGGATTTCGCCGATGATTTGTGTCTAATATCGCACAAACTCGAAGATCTACAGGCAGAAACCAACAAGTTGACAGAAGAGATAGCGAAAACGGGACTTGAAGTGAATGTAGAGAAGATAGAGGTGATGAAGATACCTAACTAATCACTGTCAAGGGAAGAAACCTAAAGGAAGTAGTCTCTTTCACCTACCCAGGCAGCATCGTTTCAACTACAAGTGGCATAAATGAAAATATCAAAACCAGAATCGGAAAATCAAGACAGGCGTTCATTAATCTGAAACCGGTGTGGAGATCTACTGAACTCAGCATGTGGAACAAGATCCAGATTTTCAACACCAATGTCAAGTCAGTGCTCTTGTATGGCTCAGAAACATGGAGCGTCACGAAAAGCATTTCCAACAAACTACAGACATTCATCAACAGCTGCCTACGCTCGATGCTTAAAATCAGATAGCCAGAAAGAGTAAGCAACAAGGAACTCTCGGAACGAACTAACCAAGAACCTATCACCCAACAAATATGCAGAAGAAAGTGGAGATGGATTGCATTGGGCATACACTGATAAAATCATTCGGAGACATCACGCGCCAGGCCGTCTAGTGGAACCCGCATGGGAAACGACGAGTTGGGCGTTCGAGGCGGTGACATGGAGGAGATCATGTGAGGAGGAAATGAAAGCTTGTAAGTAGTGGTGGAGTCAGGTTGAAAAGACTGCAGAGAGGAGAGTACACTTTGATTACTCTTGTGGTTGTTAATATTTAGTTTTGTCATGAGGGTAAATACCGAAGGTGATTTTAAAATAGAACTAGTTATCAATTTATTCACATACTTTACCACTCAATCGAAATATTTTAAGCTCTCCTGAAACTCAAACAATCCTACAAATATCTTCACAAGGGTCCCTCAGAGCAATTACACTATGATTCAGCTCTAGATATGAAGCCTGATACCTTGAAGGGTTTAGACGAATAACGTAACGATAAAAAGTAATTGCGTGTAACCTTTGTACCAACACAAAACCTATGCTTCAAATAAAAAGAAAGAACAAAATGGTAATAGAGATCAAAAGGTTAACATATATCTGCAACAGAAACAGTGAAGGCTTAGGACAGTGATCATTTATTTGTTCTCTCAATGCTTTTCAACTTTTGTCAACCTTTATCGATCCATGTGTTTTCTGTATGCTTGAAGTGATGCACTTTCATGCTAGGTTCCACATTAACCTGTATATCTGTCCAGACTACTTCAACTGGTTTCACATAAAAAAACTTGGGAAAATATAAATGTTATCCTATCATAGTGAATCTTTCAAAGATCCCATATAAAACAAACTGTTTTATTTGACACAAGAATGTGTATGATAATATCTGTAAAATATTGTACATCAAGATACATGTAATATAACATAGTTTATTGTAACAAAAACTTACCACAGCGTAGGTAACGTCGGACGCCAAAACACACCAATCAAAAGGTGTAGTGTGGTTGGCAACGCATATTGTATTTGCCTTGGGACGGTTTTCTCTACACAGGGGTGTGAAAATTAGAAGTATGACTTATTTCAACCAACTCAATACTGCCCTCCAAGTAATATGAATAGTTTATTTGTTAAATTAATTAATTTATTAAAAACGTGACTACAATTACTTCAAAACACTGAATTTCGATAAGGTAGTTTGTGAGACTTGAATTCAAAATAAAAGTTTTGGAGAAATACCTACAGATATTATATTACTAACTCAGGGTGTGGTTGAAGAATGTACCTCATTTTCAGCCTATTGCAGCCAGCAATTCGATGCTTACATTTGAACTAGTATTTTAATTCAATAATCTTATATCACTAACTACCAAAATTTCAGCAACTAGCAAGTTAGAACCAGTTATCTCTGCCTGCCTCAAGCTAGTGAAAACCTTCCATTTTTCCTGAGAATTGTAGCAGCTACAATGAGGTGCAAGACGGCTAGTCATAAATAAAGAATCTTGTAGATGATGAAGGTAGGGGCCACTATATCATGAGATTGGTACGTAAAGTCAACGGTTCAACTATGAAATGTTGCAGATCCCTGGGCTGCATCTTGCATATGATAGCATATTTCAATGAATTTGCACCACAATAAGTGTAGTTTTGTATTCTTTTTGGCGTGTGCTTTTGATGCATTTGACCAATGGAACCAACGAACCTCGATGTCAGTCCATCAAATGAACTGACATGCACTAAGATCTACTTTGTGATGCACGATAACAAGTACGCATTGTTATATAGTAATTAAGAAAAACATGAATGTGGTAATCCATTGCCATAGTACAGTTTGAACGTACAAACCAATCTATGAGATAGCTGTCCACTACATCAAAACAGTTCAGGTTATGTAATCCAAGTGAGAAATCTATCCGTACATAGCTGGTCAATATGGAGGAAGATAACAGTTGAATGTAGATTGGTTGGTAACTAAAATCCTTTGTTGGGGATCATAGGGTGCAATGACACTGAACATTATATGGCTCCGAAACGATGTCACTGGCGCAGATACATGCATACATTATCCTCACATTAACCGCTATGCTTAATCTCATTCTTCCTTCTCTTCTTACTACTTTCTACTTCGAAGCCTCCAGGAATGAATAAGTTCACATGCATCCGTTAATTTATAGAACTCGCTGACACTCTCTGACCATTTCTAATCTTTTTTTGAAAAGCACCTGCTGATAATCATTAGTTTGCCGAGTAATGACTGGGATGCTGATGTGTACTGCATTAATTGTACAAAATAATGCAAAAACCCATGATAGCGTTTTAACTACAGTCTTCAATCCCCTCGATATCGAATCGAAATGCATTCAACAACGTTGTGCATATTCGCGCAGTAGGCAATAAGCCACAGCTATTGCGTGAGGGCTAAGTGATACCACTTAGTTGCTCAGACCTCTGTAGGTGAAGTGGGGCTCGAACCTGCGACCCATCGGTTAGTAGTCATTTCCCAAAACCAGTGACCAACAATTCCACTCCCCTCGATATAACAGTGAACCAACATGGCGAATATGATACTAGGAGAATATCACACTGCATCATTTATAGCACAATTTGCTACTTAGTACCTTCCAAGTAAAGGGTTAATCTGAAGCCAAAAGTTACTTTTTAGTCCTGAGTTCCTGCTCAAAACGTCATTAGTAAACAATACTGTTTCACTGTGATACGTGTAAAAAGGAGCTATGATGAAATTGGAGTCAATGTAGTAAAAGTTTCTTTTGCAACAGCAGAATCATAATAGTTTCTAAGTGGTTGTTGAAGTTTTGGATACAGATGCTTCTATTTCCTTCCTCTTAAAGGAATGATAAAAATAGAAGGCAGATTACTTCAATGCATAAAAAAACTTGTTAAGTTAATCATGAGGAGCTGATTACGATTTACAAATTTATAAGCCATCGGATAAACAGGACAACTTGGTCTACTTATGTTTGTTATATGTAACTCAGCAATCAGGTGCATATCCATACACTAGGGAATGGAGTACGTTTTTAATGCGAAAGTGAATGATATCACTTGAACACCCAGACTTCTGTAGGTGAATTAAAACTCAAACTTAACCTACTGGCTTAAAACAAAGTGCACAGACTAATGAGATACAGTTCCACAATCCATCCTTAGTGAGATCAGAAAACTGGTGAATGACGACACAAGACAAAATGAACAAACCTGTTGTGAAAACGAATGACCGCCGAAAATGAGCACAAATTAAGCCGCACAGCTGCTTGAATCCCTTCTGTGGATAACCACTTCTTCAAACTAAAACAATGACCATAACAAACGGAACATACTGGGAAGGAGGAAGTTTGCGGGCGACAGCACCTACAAGCCAAGTGAACAACAGAGAAGAAAAGAAAACAAAAAGTCTAAGCAATCACTAGTAACTTAAGCGCCTACCTGCACGGTAAAAAGATGGCATACCGAACGACAACGCCTAAGAGCCATAGACACATAAGAGTTTTGTGATTATCTTTCCTATGGAGTATGTAATAACAACGGCAGACTCACTTTGCGTATACATAACTCTGATTGCGACTCAGGAAATTCCAAACTCTTAGCTCAGCAGCTGTGAATCTTTTCGTGACGGAATCTTCAATAATGGCCTACAAACAATAACTTTCAACAAACAGCATAAACCTCTATACCGCATTTTGCCAGATACACCGGATAATGCAACTTGAAGCCTTTCTGTTGAGGTACAATAGGAGTTTTGACTTTCACACCCCCCTCAGTTAGCTGAATATCTCTCTCAATCAAATCATCATCTAAAACCAGAAGTTACAGGGATAAAGCAACTAACCATATGTATCAAGATTTTCGACACTGTCAATACTTGTAAGTCCTCTGTGGTCATCCTCAAGAGTGACGGCAGAAGCAGCGTACTAGGCACATCAGCAAAATAAAATGAACATACGGAGAACAGCTTATCCAACATATAAAGGTACAAATGTTGAATTATCTGGATCTTGAAACATGCAGATACTACTGAACTCCAAAAGAACCAGGTCACCGCACAAAAGTAAAACCAAAAGATACAATAAAGTAAACTGGGCATTGGATAAGCGATGAATGTTTTCTAAAGACGTAGGCAATTAATAACCAGCAACTGAACCGATGAGTTCGTCAACAAAAGTTAGCTGAAACAGAAAGGGGGAAATGAAAACTGAATACTCTAAAGAATTAGACAGTGAAAGTTGTAAAACAAATGCAGAATCCTATGAAAATAATAGCTATGACCAAAAACTAAACATGGAAAAGTGGGAGAGTAAACACTATATTAATTCATCAATGATGGATAATGGCTGGCAGGGAATCCAGGATGTGTGTTTTCGTCATATTTTGGAACCCGTCAACTGGATATAGCAAGTAACGACATTATATTAATTGCCTGGAAGTGCTATTTTGGTTTGGAGGTGGATGAATAAAAGTAGTTACGACATCAAACAGATACACAAGGGAAACGTGAACTGGAGTACGGAGATATAACTCAGTATACATGAGCTAATTAGATAATCTACATTAAGTTATGTAAGCGATGGAAAAATAAATAGCATAATGGAAGTGTTGACTTCCTTAAATGTCCCTGTAATCCTAAAACAAAGACAAAAGCTAATGATTTAGTTTGCAGTCTTCGCATAACTTTAGGCATACTTTCTAAACGCTATTATACACCCTAGATTCTATTATGATAAACAGTATAACAGCTTTACAAACATTTGCTGTCCTATAAACTTCCTTTTATTACGCAATGAAGTTCACATTTTTAGTTTCTATTCATATTAGTATTAGTATAAGTTCCATCCATCGCATGTAAGCCACAATTACATTCCACTTAAAGACCGAAATCATGATACAATCCATTCGTTATTTTACTTGATCATTAATCGGCTTCACCCTTGGAGACTAATAGATAGAGAGCAAGCTGCTAATCCATAATATTGATTTCATAGGCACTGATCCCTTCAGCATTCTGCATTGCGTCGTGTCCACGTTCGGCTTTCTAATAAGCGATCATTCCCCAGTTGGTTTAGAACGTAAACACGCAAAGTCGCTCATCCATTTTGCTGTAACCGACTTTACTGAAAAGATTAGAAATGGACAGAGTGTCGGCAAGTTCTCTAAATTAGCGCATGTACGCGAACACATTCATTCCTGGATGCTTCGAGCACAATGGCAAACAGAAGCAACTGAAATGTAGACTGACAAAAAGCCTGCGCAGTGAGTGTGAGCAGTGGTGGGCAGCAAAGGCTAAGGAGATGAAAAAGGCAGCAATGAGTTATTTATATATATCAAGGAGACTGGGATGAAAACGTCAATAGTTAGTCAGACTATAGCAGAGGAAGATGGGTCTGAGATTCACTAGCAGGATAAAAAATGGAGTGATCGACAGAACACGGTGAGGAATAGTTTAATTGACCTCCCGTTACTCGCTGTGCAATCGGATCCGGAATGGAACACTGAGATAGATACTCCAACACTTGCAGGAGTTCAGAAGGTTGTACGTAATGTGAAATGGGGAAGGACAACAGAGCCAGATGAGCTAGTATCGGACGGCAATTAAAGACTGTATCGTTAGCTGGTGTATTGAAATTATATATGACGCCCCTAAATGATCTCAATCATTGATCGTTCCAGTTTCAAAGAAAGGAGAGAAATCCCTGTGATAACCACAGGGTAATATCAGTCTGACGTACATCGTGTCTAAGATCCTAGGTTCTATTATCATCCTATGCTTAACTGAAGCTGAAGAACAGTGCGCCCGCGAAAAGCAGTCAGGCTTTGGACTTGGTGATGAGTGTATCGACCAGATATTCACCCTTCACCAGGTTGTAAATCTTCATCGATTCAGATAGCTAAGACATGCGTTAAGCATGCCCAGCTAGCATTTATCCCGTCACACAGTGCTAGCTGAAGAAGCTTCGTAAGAGAAAAAGGGTTAGAGGTAACCATCCACTAAGCCAGTCCATGATCATCATCATCAAGATCAAGATGGAACAAGGCATTACTGTGTAACGGTTCAAGTTGCTACACCTCATATCAGCACATCAAGTAAGAAGGAAATAAAATGGAAGATGAAGAAAAATCGGTCAGAGGAAGTAGAAGTAGAAAGTAGTAAAAAGAGAAGGAAGAATGAGATGATGAGATTAAGCATAGCGGTTAATGTGAGGATAATGTAAGCATGTATCTGCGCCAGTGACATCGGTTCGGAGCCATATCGCCTAAAATGTCTAGCCACTGGTTTTTTTGCCCCGCGGACCCCAACCACTCAACATGGCTTAAATCAACAGTCACGAACTTCACGCATTGATGCCATGTTTTAGTCTGGTCGTCACGAGGCTTTTGTGAGCCTGAGCCTGTTTCGGCCAACATTGAGCTACGAGCCAGACGGTGGTTAGGCATTCATAACATATGTTCCAGCCATCTCAGCCGATGAAGTTTCACAGCAGCATCAACTGCCTTACCTCTCCTTTCTGAAGCATAACGCCTGACTTCTGCGTTACGTGATGACACCGCGAAACACAACTTATGCTACGGAGGTAACGATGGTCTAATACCTGAAGCCTTCTTATGTCTTGTACCTTTTCAATGGCCGTGTTATACCAGTTATACAGCAGAACAGAGCGAACTGAAGCACAGTACACTCGACCCTTAATAGACAATCAATCATATATTATGGTGGTACCACGGGCGAAGTCGGTAAAAGCCAACTGAGCCTTCTGTATTCATGCAGAGACTTCGTCAGCCACTGACCCAGGAGGGCTGATCCAACTTCCCAGGTAAGTGAAGTGTTCAACTCGTTCAACTACTTTACTCTATTGTTAGCCATCGTACCGTTGAAGACCAGTTCTGGAGCAAAAATTTGCACTTAAATGGTGAGAAACATTCTCAAATTGCAACTCATGTCCAGAAAATTCTCCATCTTATCACCGTATCCATCTAACAAGACTACGTCATCTATGTGCTCTAGGTCTACTCAAAATTATCGTGTGATTAAGTTGACCCCTGTGTAGTTGGACGTCGAGAAACAGACCTTCATAAGAATATCCATGACAAAACTAAATAGGAATGGAAACAGTGGGCATCCATGAAGTCTCTGACTACTGGTATGACCTATGCAGACGTTGCAGTTGAGGTCCGCAAAACACCTGCGGTTGGTGGTTGGAGACTGTGATGAGGTTCAGGATCAATCTCCGTGATGCAAGTGCATCCATACATCATCACCCTAATCTCCATTTCATATTTATTTATTGCTTTACTCCTTCTTCCTCGCTTTATACTTGTTACTACCCATGATTATTTTAAGTTTTTTTTATCTTGGTACCTTTTACATTGATGTGCTAATGTGAAATTTGGTAACGGACCCCTGCGCAGTAATGACAACCCAGATGTTGATACTGAGTAACCTCAGGCATGTTGTAATCAATCATTGCTGGTTTTTAACACTCCAAGAGGTAGGCTTCAGTTAATGAAAGTAATGCACCCCAACATTCCACTGGCTAAAGTGAAATCTCCTGCACTTTGTAGTTGAGAAACCCGAGGAATGTCTCCATTCTGAGCCGACAAAATTCGGTATGCCAAGTTGAATTTTGACAATGAATTTTTAAAGTGAATGGCATATGTTTTCAGGTTTTTGTAAAACTTTAACGTTCGATAAAGCGAAGGCATATTAAGAAACATTATGCATGAGATTCGTTTTGATTCTCATATGCGTATTGTCCTTGGGTTGGACATCATCAAATTGAGGAGACTAGGAAAAACAGTACAGAATGTCAGTTATGCACGAAAAACATTCAGACTAAAATTGAGCTACTTCCTCAAGCTGTGAAAATTTGCACAAAGATAGGAAATTTTTGAGACTACTGAAAACCCACTCTCGTGCATGATGGATATTTAAAGCAATAAGTGTTAATAGGAGTGATTTTACTTTTGCTGACATTCAATGTTTAGTTGAGTGACAAAAGGCCGTTTTAGATCCATAAAAATCACTAGGAAGCCTAAATGGAATGAGAGCATCGGGAACCGGCCATATATATTTACAAATATGAAGGCAGGGCGGCACAGAGAGCACTTTTAGTTACGTTCAAAAGCTTCTTGAACTGAATAAAGTAGTATTGGTGCTACATATACATTAATTAGGTGTTGGAGGTGATATTGCATTAAGACGAGTGATAACTTGGAAGTGTTCTATGTTTGAAACTTTCACCCACCTGTTCAGTCATAAGAACGCAGCCTCGCCAACAGATTCTTTTAGGAATTAAACAAATAGATTTCGACGGACAGAAGTCCATACCCAAAGGTTATTTAGGCTTTCAGGAAGGAAATTCAATGACTCACAGTACATTGCACACCTAAGCCAACTCACGTTTCGAATGCAACTGTAAGGTGCTATTTTGAATATGATGTTTTGTTGAACTAAATTATAGTCATGCAAAATGCTAAGGACAACCGGTCAGGCTGTAGACGCTGTATATTAACGTTCGTTCGTTCTTGACGTTGCATAAGATGTCGATGAATTACGATGAAGGGTGAGTTGTGGACTATTGAAAGTGAGATCTCAAGTTGAAGTTGAAATTTCAAAACATGATGTCGCAATGAGAAAAGAGATGGTTTGATCTACTGTTGTCTCAGATATTAGAAAAAGAAAGGTCAGAGGACAAGATAATTTCTCAAAGGAGTCGATATCGCATGTGACTCATAGAAATAATGGTTTCGTCCGTCACTGGGTCATTTATAATATTAGCAGACACTCTGATAGATCTAAGTGAACTCTCTTCAGTCCAGTGGTATCAGCAATGGAGGTATTTGCTTCGAAACAATCTCCAGGTTGGATGTGAAGTTTGCTTGAGTAGCCAGTGAGTTGCAAAGTGGGTAAACACCTTTCGCAGAAAACGTAACACGAACAAGGAAGAAGACAAACAGAACTGGGTAAGTTGCGTACACATGTCTTCACACACTAGAGATTCAAGGTATGTGTAATAATAATACAAAGGAAGGATTTCCGTAAACATTGTTGTCAAAAAATAACAATAAGAATCCGGCACTGAATTGTATTCTATTATAGCGATAGGAACCCTGATATGAAACCATAACGCTTGATATATCTACTTGTGACACTAAGCTGAAAGTCTATTGTCTTCGAAAAGATGATAGTCCTTTATGCAGAAGCACTGACAAAAAAATTGACTGGTGTTATTAAATGCACATATATTAGCATTTTGAGCATAGAAAGATACCTTCAAGTAGACGAATAATAACACATTTCGTGCTATGAAGCACGACTGGAACACAAGGTCAAATTTAAGTAAGAGACTAGGCTTGCAATCAGTTCGGGTAAACTCAAACAAAGACGTCAAGGATTTCCAATGTCCAATGCCATTCTACCAGCTAGCTCAAATCAGTTGGTTTTCTCGCACTCGCTTCTGAGTCTGCTAGGTCTTTAGTATATTTTGAGTCAGTAGATCTACCCACTAGCCTGCTATAGCTCTGATTAGCCCGACAGTTGGTTAGGGATTGATGAAATTTGTAGGGACTGCGTAATTTGTCCAGGAACTGTATTTCAGAACGGAACCCCCAAGTCTGGTGCCACCAGACAGTTGGCTGCATCGGTTGTGAAAATAAGTCAGAAAAGATGACCAGAGAGACTAAGGGAGAGTAAGTGCGAAGAAGACAGAAAACAAGGTGAAAGGGTGCTGGACGGAAGGAGAAACCTGAGTGGATTCATGGGAGATAAGTGATAAGTAGAACTTTAATGAATAGCGTGAGATCACACAGTGGGTGCGAGGAGAAGGAGCAGGTAAGATTATTGAACTGGCTGCGAGGATAAAAATGGTAGTATTATTAGTAGGGGGTGGTAACCGCGGTGACACCTGCAGGGAAGTATAAGGTAGCGTCAAGGTCGGAATGATAGTGGTGACACAAAAGGTCCGGAACATGATTGACTGCGCTGATTTGTGGTTTTATCAATTCAGCCCATATCCAAGCTGAATAAGCGCGCAGCAACAGCCTCTAGGCGGCTGTCTAACCTATTCTTGAAACTTGGCTGACGGAGCAATAGCAGTCACGGCAGGCAATATGTTCCAGTGACCACAAACTTGTAGAGGGAAGGATGTGGACACACAGGGATTTTAGCCCTTCGATGGAAGACTCTTCTTGAGCTACCATGAGGATTGCCGCAGTGGTCGTTCGATGGGATTCCACCTCCCGGATGACTTGAATTACTTAGTATTTTGTAAGCGTTATCAAATCACCACGTAACCTGCGGTAGCTAAGGCGGAGAAGCCCTAGTTCTTTCAGCCTGTCCTCATAGGGTTTCCGCTTCATTCTCACGAAATCCCTCGTTGCTCGCCCCCAGACTTCCTGCACCAGGTTCACACCTGCCTTCAGTTATGGTGGTGCAGTGACGTGAACGAGTTCCTACGTAGGTCTTGTACAGCTTCAGGATTTGTTCCGCAGTGACGGCACCTAGCTGTCTGCGCATGAAGCTTAGTACTGCGTAGGCCCCGGAAGCACCTTCTGTGTACTTGGAAATAGTGTCTAGCTTGTCAGTCAGCATTAGTCCCAAGTCTTTCTCACGGTGATGTGGGAAAGCTGCGTTCCGCAGACAGAGTGGGATACCTTTGCGAGTTGGGGATGTGGACAAACGTGACTCGGCATCTACCACAATTAAACGGTAGTCCGTCATTCTTCACCCACCCTTCAGACGATGTGAGAATACTTTGCAGTGCATTTGATCGTGCTTCGGATGCCGCAGCTATCCATAACTTAACGTCGCCAGAGTGAAGTAAAATCGGAGAGCAGCGATTCAATGGAATGCCATCCACAAAAAGAAGGAAAAGGAGTGGATCTAGAATCGCCCCTTATGACACACCAGACGGTGATATCTTCCAGTCAAGCAAATCCTTTCGACGTTTGTGCGGAATTCTCTGCTGTCTTAATAGTCCTGTAGCTAGGAAAGCACTAGATCTTTTATACCCAACCTTGATATTTTTCGAATGAGAATTGTTTGCGGGACTATGTCAGACGTCTTGGTAATTTCCGAAAAAATCACATGTATGTGGACTTGGGGGTTCCAGCACACCGTCTGCCTGTTGCCGGCTGCCAGATTGTTTGAGGTGCAGGATCTGCCTCTTGTAAAGCAGTACTGGGCACCACTTGATGCTATCTTTTTGTCCCAGTACTCTCTGACAAGATCATCTACTAAGTGCTCAATCGCTTTTGACGACGTTGGTAGAAGTACCATACGTCGACGGCACTCCTGCTTCCCTCCCCCTTTCAAGATGGCAGGGAGAGTATCACGTCTCCGCCCCCCTTGGAAGCATGTGACGGTCCTTGAGAGTGTCGAAGCAGATTAAAGAACGGACCACATTGGGCAGCTACACGTTTTTTCAGCATGGGTGGCTTGATGTTATCGCATCCCGGTGACTTCTCTGCACGTGAATTTGGGGGGTTTTCGAGGCTCATAACGGGGTTACTTTTATTCCACTTAACTCTGCTGCAGCACTAAGAAGCGCTGAGGTTTGCTCGGATAGCTGACACCTTCGGTTGGGTGATGGAGTGTCTAATTGTGTGTCAAAAACGGCGGTAAAGGTCCCGACGATCTCTGATCCTGAGCGGCCGTTTCCGTCAGGGCCTTTCACCATGCCAGCCGCGAGTCGATATAAGTTTTCGGGCTCGCCTCAGCTTATGGGTGGGGTTTTTCTGGAACGGCCTCCTGCTCCCCCTCACTTTGATGTTGCTTGGGTCCTTTACAGCCACAGGTGCACTTTAATCCAGATCTTTACTGGGGGCTTCTAGCTGAACACGCTTCCATCCTGGCATCTAGAGAAGTCCAGTTCCATGTTTCAGCCACGAGGTTTGCTCCATCGGCATTGTTGCGACTACCCTGATGTCTCCAGAGGTGTCTCTATTGGTGACATCCCTTAGTAGATCTCACTGTTCAATTATCGACAAGATGCTCCGCTTCTGTAGTCGTGTGGCTATCAACTAGCACCGCCTCACAACCACTTAGTTTTCCTTGCTGTATCAAAGACAAGGATGGGATCCTTCCCATGACAGCTGTTTACTGAACATCAGATGGCACACTACCATACCGTGATCTCTGCTCCCGGTGGGGGTTTGAACCTGGAGGATTTCTGCTAGTAGATGGTCGCCGGCAAGAAGGTGGTCTAGTAGGGATGGTTTCCTGCTTGACACCCAACGAGTGTCGCCACTAATGTTCTGATGCAGTCCAGCCTTTCTGGTATTGTTGAGTTGGTTTCGATCGAATCTCCAACTTCGTGTTGCCCTGTCTTGTCCAAGACTAAGAGACGGTGAGCTGAAATCCCCCGTTATGGTGACCTGTTTATACACCGTTGTGAACGTCAACTGGAGCAGTTTTTGATTCTGTCCCACTTTGGTGGGGGGAGTTTTATAAACCCACCAGGTACTTGGTGTGCCCAGCCGTAAAGTGGTGCCAGGTGGAGTTTTAGAGCCCTGGCAGCAAAGTTTTAGTGTCTCGCTCACTTTTTTGATGGCCACGTTTACACGCTGTCACTCGACCTCACTCCCGGAGTTTCCTGTCTCTTCCAAACGGGTGCACACCGTCTATGCTGGCTTGGATATCACTAATACCCGGCAGTAACCAAATCTCTGTCGCGCCTACAATCTTCGGATGAGGGTAGGAACACAGAGACCGCAGTTCCCTCCATCTTGCCTCTAAGTTCCGTAAGATAGCTGTCAGGATAGTTGAAGGTGCTTCCAACAATGTGGGGTGGCTGACTGTGGGGGTCGTGTGCGGTAGTGGGAGCCGTTGATGGACGGTCAATTTCAGTCAAACCGTTCCAAGCATATTTCTATGCTTGGCCGTTTCTGTGGGGAGGGATCTGAGGAAATTTGCGTCCGTACAAAATGCTATCGCCATGTTGGCGTCATAAATGGGTACCGTTTCAAACTATAGGATAGTAGTAGCATGGTAATCAGGCTTGCATATTGGCAGGTTTGAATTTCACTTCATCATATTTATTCTGCACATTACACGATAAAGCGGTGATCTCTCGTGGTTGATTCCGGCTAAATAAGGTACTGCAGAGCTTTTGTATTTTGTATTGCGGGCATAAAGTCTTAAGTACTCGCCCACTGTCTTTCAGATGACCGGCATACAGAGCTTCGAGTGAAGAGATGCTGGTCATCTGATAAAACAGCCCTGGTCAGATGTCTGTATGAGGTAATATTTTCGTCCACAGTCGCTTCAACCAGAAGGCTTAGAGGTACTTAGCTGGTCCTGCTGGCAATCTTCGAAGTTCTATGCAATTTGGCACGGCCCTATTTAGGCAACCCGGAAAAGAACAAAAAGGAACAGTAGGGGAGAGCAGGCAACATGCAGGAGTCTATAAAACACAAGATGAGAGGCTGAGTTATAGCAGATACTCTCAGCTACATAACACAAAAAGTCATGCGGAAAATTATTTCGGAAATTGATGGGATATGGGAGGACCAAGAAAGGTCAGAAGAAGAACACTCCGAGATACATCACGCTTGTGGCATTCTCTAACGTACAACTACCAACAGAACAGGAATCGTGAAAACTAACCGATTTATGTAGGTTATGTTCACGTCTAAAACTACAGTTTATGGTCTGAAATTATGAAGAATTAAGCATAAGACCATTCTCGGAGGGCCATCCTTCAACAATAGATGGGGAATCACCCAGTCTGGAACAACCTATTAAAGAGGAGACAGGTGTGGAAGCTGTTAGGTTATCAGCATACCCGGTAAAGTTTAAACCAGCTGAGGATAGTAAGTCATGCAGGAATAAAGAGGAAAGGCAAAGGGAAAGGACTGCTTCTCGTGAGACACCCTTCACAGTAAGCATTGAGACTGGGCACATCCCTCGTATACTGTTTCATCTCTGGAAAACATGAATACAGCCAGCTTATTATCCAGGACTCGGTATTTGCCCAGTTATTTGTCCACCAAAACGGGCCTTGAGGCAGCATCAAATGCAGATGTATAGTTTGGAAAGGCACACCTGACATACTTGGCATATTTATCAAGATTATAAGAAATGTTGTGGTGTAAGGCAGTAGTGAGATCCAAAGCTCTTCTTCTGACTTTATATGACGATTGACTACAGTTCCTTCGGACTCCCGTCAATCTACGTAGTTCATTGATTACTACACTCTCGAAGTCAGAGCCATGATCCGAATGTATTTGGAGAGAGACGCCCTGTCGACTTATTCAACAGGCAAAAGTAGCTACCGGAGTAGTTGCAGCATCTGCTTGAGGATTGCAACTACCTCACACCGCCTGGTAAGACAGCCCACCACCACCAACGTGTAATTACCTGAGTTGTCTCCCGTCCGAACTCGT